AAAATGTACTTCAAAAAAAAAAAAAAAAAAAAAAAATACAATATCTTTTATATTACATACTACATAGGTGTATCACCTTGTGAACCAGCACTGGTATTCATGGCTGCCTCCAAGGTCCAAATATTTTTTACCGGAGGCAACATACCAGGTAATAATAATGGATTCAAATTTATATACACTTTGCCTATAGCGTCATTTGCAGAATATGTATCATGATCCATCAATCTGATTTGCAATGGCTCATCTTGTAATTCCGCATCATCAACTTCAAATCTATACCATTCTGAATTCCATTGAGGATTCAGAGATTTTCGACATACATCCGTCTTATAAGTTGTATTGCCAAACTTTAGTTCTACATATGCATCTGTTGTATCACCTGAACGATCCATAACTGGCAAATTACGGCCTGCTAATATTTTTACTTTTATTTTTCCAGGCATTGTGCGTTGTTTTTACAATGTAACGATCTGCGAATATAGATCAGTTTGTATACGTGTTAAATTTACACAAAAGACCAATAACCAAAAAGAACTTAAAAACTATCAAATACTTTTGACATGTTATTGCAATAAATGATATATTACACATTTATCATCTATTTTATAGTTACATAGTACTTCTTTGGAGTTTAAAAACACAGTCAATATTATAAATTAAATTTTAGTTTTTATAAAAAAGAAAACGGTAAACATTTAAAAAATATATAGCAATTTACATTTTACTATACACAGCAATCTATAACACTATTTTAATCAAACTTTATGAATATAATTCGCGGAAATAAGCATATTTCACATCAATAAATAATTACAATGCTCTCGATTTTTTCAATCAACAATAAAAAATCCTCTCGCATCTCACCGTTTATGAAAATGTGTGATTACGATGCAAATTTTCGGCAAAATGCATAACAACATCTAACGAGAAATTGTTTAACCCTAATCCTACTGACTTAAATAGGTTACACACACATATATACACCATAATATATGGATTAACGTATGGACGGCAGTGTTCACAGTTTTGGCTCTTTTAAGTCCTGTCACACTACGGTTAGCTAATGAAAGACGCGTGTCAAAAACCGCGAAATAATTACTTGTTTAGATAAAAATCAAATAACTCCAAAAATCGTACTTTTCACTATACACTACCTACTCCCATTGTAAACGGCCCTTTATAGATTGAGATTGGATTGAAATTTGACCAATCAGAAGAAAGAAAATCAATCCTAAGTTTAGTGATCTTCGTTCTGATTGGCCAAATTGCAATCCAGTAATAAATCAGAAGTCAGAAAAATTGACTAATCACAATCGATTATTCTTCTGTGATTTGACTGTGATTGGTCAATTTCTTACTATTACGGCCTACAACTCTCCATTGTAGACAGCTCTTTAAAGGCCGAAGCACAGACTTTTGCACAACGCATAAGGCATAAGGAAATCAACCAATCCAACTTTTCGTTTTCATTCCTACTTCTTGTTCTAGAAAGCTTTGATTGGTTGATTCTCTTATGTCTTATGCGTTATGCATTATGCAAAAGTCTGTGCTTCGGCCTATATTCTGATTCACTTCAGTGCACTGACTCGGCGTATTCACTTTTATGTTAATGCTTACTTATTTTAGAACAAGTGTATAAGTTGGATTGCATTAGCCGTATCGGTTGGATGTGCGTAGTTACGTTGTGAATATTTTTGGACACTTGTCGGTGTTTTACACCACTTTATTATTATCTTTAATTTAAACAAATATACAACTCCGTGGCTTGGCGTCAGGAACCCAACCCACGGTTTTAAACCTGTTATCAAAAAGAACATAGAATGGCGTATGGACTAGCTTTATAGGTCCACTGAACCAAAAGAGCACCAAACCAAACCCTAGAACGAGTGTTTATGGATAGTTAAAAACCTGAGAACTACAGAAAAGTTAAATCAAGTTAAAGCACTGGTGTAAGGGTGTAATTTTTGGAGTTTCTGAGCCATAAAAAAAAAAAAAAAAATCAAGACAAAACTTAAACAAAACATAATATATCAAATAATATATCAAAATGTCCGAAGATGAAATGGAAAGCTTTGAGATTACTGACTATGATTTAGAACATGAATTTAACCCAGCCCGTCCTCGACATAAACTTTCTAAGAGACAACAAATGCTAGGTATGTTTTTACACATGCTTCTCATAAGAAGTATATTTTTTAATTATGCATTGTTAATCATGGTTTTTAGTTCTCTTTTTGTTATTATTATTTTCATCAAATTTATATTCTTGGATATATCAACACTGATTTTATAATATAGGAACAATTTATCATTTGTTTAAATGAACATATAGGAATATGGGCTGATGATAGCGACGAAGACGATCTATCTGCAAGACCATCCTTTAAAACTTATAACAAAGGTCCAAAGAATTATACAACACCAGTTAATTTTGTTGCTGGTGGTATTCAACAAGCAGGTAAACCAAAAGAAGAAGATAAGGATGAAGAAGAAAAAGACGAAGAAGAAGAGGCAGGAGAATCCCAAACAAAGTATCAAAGTAATTCAAGGTAAAACCTAAACACAGTTAATTATCTAATATGTTTTTTTCTTAAAGTTTATAATACATAAACAATACATAAGTTTATAGTGCATATTTTATCTTTTATTTTAGTTCAGAAGATGAAAAGCCAAATAGTTCGTCACGACCATCTTTCTCTCTAAATTTAGACAGCGATATCGCAGGGTTACGCAAAAAACGTAATCAAATTAATCCACTATTGATGAAAAGTGGCATGGGAAGTTGGGAAGTTCATACAAAGGGTATTGGTGCAAAACTGTTATTACAGGTATTTTATAAATTGCTTACTTTTATTTATATAGCAAATATAAAAGAACAAATATATGAATACTAATATAAGAAAATGTCTAATTAGATGGGTTTTGAACCTGGTAAAGGTTTAGGTAAACAATTGCAAGGAATAAGTACGCCGGTGCAAGCACATCTCAGAAAGGGAAGAGGTGCAATTGGTGCATATGGTCCAGAAAAAATACCAAAACTTGTAGAGAAAAAAGAAAGTAACGAAATGGAAGAAACATCAGAATCTAAATCCAAATTGTCACAATGGAGAAAAAGTGATAGTAATAAAAAAAAAGTTAAACACATTTATAGAAGTGTGGATCAAGTTTTGGAAGATGGAAAAGTAAAGCCTAATAGAAAACTTCCAGTTTCTAGTGATATGAGCAAAGTCAAGGTTATTGATATGACAGGGCCAGAACAGAGAATTCTTAGTGGATATCATGCGATATCTGGTGCTCAGCAGTGTCCAGATGACACTGTGATCACATCTGATAAAGAATCTAAAGTAAACTTTGCTCTGCCCGAATTACAACATAATTTAAAGTTACTCGTGGATATGTGCGAACAAGATATTATTCAAAACGACCGACTGATAAGACATTTAAATGATAGAAAGATTGCTTTAGAAGCAGAAAAAAAGAATCTATTTAAAGTTCTCGATCACCACAGTCAACAAATTGAGACTTTGGAGAACATGCTTACGATTGTGGATAAATTACTGAACACAACAAATGAACTGTCTTTACAAGAGATTGCTGAGGCGTTCAAGCAGTTACAAGAAAATTATTACGAAGAGTACAGATTATACGAACTTGGAGAATTGGCAAGCAGTTTTGTAGCACCGAAACTAAAAGATTATTTGCTTAGTTGGAATCCGTTAATGCAACCAAAAGAACCGATTAAGTTATTCGTAACCTGGAAAGATGTTTTAGAGAAAGGAACTAGTACGACTCTTCAAATACAAACTATGCAACCATACGATCAAGTAGTATGGAGCGCGTGGATGCCATCAATTAGAGGAGCCATACAGTAAGTTATTGTTTATTATATTTTGTATAAATTTTCACAGTTTATATTTCTTTTTTAAGTAATATATATATATATATATATATATATATATATATAATTATTATTAGTTATTTATATATAATTTATAAATTATATTTTTTTACATAGTATAGCATACTTGTGTGTTTTGTATTATTATACATACACAAATATACTATTGTTTTACACACAAATATACTAAATATATCTTGTGTTCACAAATTGTTTAAAATTTCTTACGCATAACTGAGTTCGAGTCGCGTTAGTTTATATTAACTTTTTATATCAATTTTTCGCAAACATTCAGTTCAATTTAAGAGCAATCCGATACTTGAATAGATTGATTAATTTAATTGATCTGTGAAATTTGTTTCTATCAGTGCATTAAGAAATTCTGATATATCAAAATATTACACAAATAAACAGAAGATACATAAATATACCAAGCTACAAAAAATAGAGAACACTTTCTAGTCGCTCGCAATTAACAATAAACAAGTTTTAGATTGCTATAACTTTGTAATAAATCGTAGAAAAAAAAAACAAGTATTTTAAAGGTTTAAAGCTTCAAAGTATGCATGTTTTCTTTTTTTTTTTTTTTTTTGAAAATATTTATCTTCAGTTCTCAGTCCGAAAAAAAATACATGATTTTGTTTCTCCAAAGCTTTGAAATATTTTTTTTTTTTTTTATCGCCAAGTTATAGATAATAGAGATAATAGATACTTAAAAATTACTGAAATTGCGACGAAAAGTATTTTCTATTTTTTATAATTTAGTGTATATATTTATATTCTTATTTTTATTCACAAACAGGCAATGGACGTGTAGACAACCCGATCCTCTGATCGAATTACTGGAACACTGGGTATCATTGTTGCCTACTTGGATTTTAGAAAATATACTAGATCTATTAATCTTACCAAAATTGACATTAGAAGTAGAAGAATGGAATCCTCTTACCGATACTGTACCTATTCACACGTGGATTCATCCTTGGTTGCCGTTATTACGTAAGTACATGTGCTATTTCATGTTTATATCGTCACTCCCTACGTATAATCCCGTAACTCCAAAACGCAAATTTTAGAGGAGAGCAGTTTAAAAGTATAAAGCTTCATATGTTTCCCTATAGTTAGGGATCTTTCGGTTTCAAATTTGTACCTTATTTATGAATATTTTTTTTTAATATTTGGTGACCATAAAGAACATGACTTTCTAAGTGTCATTATGCAATAAACTGAAAATCCCATACGTGACACTTATGTAATTATACGTAGGGAGTGACGATATATGTACAGTAAAACTAGAAACAAGCAAACAATAACACATTACATATTGTATAGGAAATCGTTTGGATACCTTAATTTATCCAATAATACGCAGAAAACTTGGATCTGCATTAGGAGGCTGGCATCCATCAGACAGATCCGCTAGATTAATGCTTCAACCCTGGGCGGAGGTATTTACCAAAGGGGACATGGAAGCATTTCTAGTCAAGAATATTCTTCCTAAATTACAAATAGCATTATCCGAGTTTGTTATAAATCCGCACGAGCAACACTTAGATCAATGGAATTGGGTTTACGAGTGGAAAGAATTGATTCCTGTTCACATAATGGCAGGTCTACTTGACAAATTCTTTTTCCCAAAGTGGTTACAAGTCTTGGCACTTTGGTTAAATCATTCACCTAATTACGATCAAGTTACAACCTGGTACATGGGCTGGAAAGGAATGCTAAGCGATAAGTTATTAGGAGAACCAATAATAAAAGGTGTGTTCTTTAATTGCTTTTATAGACGTATTTTTTTAATTTTATATAATTATTGAGTATAATTTTCATGAGAAAGGTTTATTTGTATATATTACCAAAATCAAAATCTGTTGTAAAAACTTAGATCTTACCAAGCAAAATATACTTTAACAAAGACGTTTCGTTTATATTGCTTTAAAATAAGTAAATCTTAGAATTGAGAAAACAAAGGTGAGAATAGTAATATTTACTACAACTTTTAACACGTTCCGTTCAGGCGGCGCGGAGGCGATCACTCGACGAGAATAGTTTTTTTGGTTTAATAAACTTCGGTAAAATTACATTTTTTATTTATCTGAATCTTCATACTATTGGTTCCACGGATCGATGCTGCCCAAACGAGAAGTTCACTGTCAGTCCCCAGGGACTGACATCGCGCTTAACGTGTTAATGCAAGACTTCTTGATACTTCCGCGACCAACGACGTTCAAAGTGAAGAAAATACAAAAGTTTCGTGCATTCTGTGTAAAAATAAAAGTTTGTCTATATAAATACACGTGGAATTAGGAGAGCATGCGCGCACATTTCTCAAAATCTGCGTTAGACTTTGAATTATTTCATATCTGAACTTTAAATATTTCTTTCTTGTTTTACCAACAACAAATATTTCTTAATAAATAGTGAAAACACTTGAAAGAAAAGAATTTTATGTTTAACCGGGTAAAACAAGTATTATCGAAGAAATCATGTTATAACTAATGTTATATTAAAATAGTTTTGACAAAATTTTTTTCACTTTTTACATTAACACACACACACACACACACACACACACACGCGCGTATAACTTTGTTTACATATATCTATATATATAAAGTATTATATATTATATTTTTAGAACATTTCAAGAAAGCATTAGATATGATGAATAGGGCTGTCAGCGGATCACAAAATCATCAACCTGGCGCACTGGAACAAGTTTCGTATCTGACGAGCTTAGAGAGAACTCAGCCAACAATGCCGCAAATAACACCTATAGCACAACCGAGAATGGAGGTACGAGGATATCTGGTTTTCAACATCGTTCATGTTGTTAAACATCAATGTAACGTTGCACATACCGCTCTTTTCAGAGACTCGCAGAAGCAGTACGAACAGCCTCACAAATCCCACAAGGTTTCAAGGATCTTGTACAAAAGAAATGCGAGGAGAGGGGTATATTATTCATGCCGATCTTGAACAGATACAAGGAAGGCAAGCAAGTATATAAAGTAGGCAATGTTCAGGCATACATTGATGGAAACGTCGTGTTTGTATGTCACAATGGTACAAATTGGATGCCAACACATTTAAATGCTTTGCTCGATATGTCCGAACTTTGAGACAGATTTAACCAAATTAAAGCGATAACTATTGACTATTGTTGTACGCATAAATGTAAATATATATATTGTAAAATATTTATCTCAGTTTTTGAAATCATCGTTATTGGAAAACCTTAATTTTTGTTGGAGCATATTGCAACTAATTTCGAAAAGCGCGCATTTGATTATTTATTAGGATAAAAACATGTAATTATAGCACCGCTTAGAATTCGATACTGTTCTTTCTTTTGTCTGACTTTTATCAGTCGCTACAAGACCGTTGTCAAGTACTTATACGCGCACCTTTTTCCGTTCCGTTGTTTTCTTCCCGGATCGCATGCAACCATATTCCGAACAAAAAAGTACTGGATCGGAATTGCCCGTTTACGATTGACTTTCTATCATAAATCTTTTTCGTTCCATTTACACAACAGATGCGTTTAAATGAAACTAAACTGTGTCACACAACAGTTGAATAAAGTTTGCTAAGTGCTCACTATACACTGGCTGCATCCAGAACATAGACATATAATATGTACGTACGTTCGCGATCATTGAAAGCGCTAAGTGGAAACTTACATGTTTTAGTTGTACGACAAAGATTTTAAACACGGTGATTAACTATCGGATAAGTTTTTATAGAGAATCTAAATCTACAGCAATAGAATCTTTGTCGAAAAAAAACAGAATTGCAACACTAAGTCTAATCTATTTCATGTTTTATCTCTCTTTCCTTTCTATTTTATAAAACCAGAACTCTAGAACAATAAATAAATAAATTACATATTTTGCTACGCAAATTTATATATTTTATTCACGCATTGCTTTATAACTGCTGATTTTTTGAAAAACAAAATTTAATATTTCTTTAGCAGTATTGAAATTGTTCATTTTTATCACATTTCCAAATTCTCTAATATAGTGGTCAATGTCTTTGACGTTTAACGAATCTTTTGTCGCCTTATATTTATTAGTAAGCTGCGATAGTTTCAACAAATCAGAACTAAAAGCTTCATCCAAGTCAAATAGCTCTAAAGCAGGTGGTGGTAATTCTTGGAAACTCGGAGGAAATACCTAAATTAGAGACGTTGAAATCAGATAAATATAAAAATATGAATAAAATTACTAAATGCAATGCTCACCGAAGGTTGTGTAGGTGGTAAAGGTGCCTCAAAATGAGGTGGAATCAAAGTAAGTGGTTCATGCTTTACATCCAAAGCTTTATACGCTTTTGTACAAGCTGGTATCATATTCAAATTTATTGAATAAAAATGATGTTTAAATAATTTGGTGTATTCACGAGGTATATCAATACTATCCAAATCTTGAGTACAAACTTTTGGATTATCCACTTCCTTTGTTATATCTGGTACAAAATTGTATTCCCAAAACTGCGCATATAAAATTATGTCACTTTTCTTGACACGAGATGGAGATAAAATATATAAATTTTTGAAATCTTCGCAAGTATCACATAATTTTAATATAAAATTTATAATTTACGTATTTCACATATACATAGTATCATATTTTCATTAATTCAGTCAATTTTCTTTGAAATTATTACCGATATAAAAAAATATTTTAGATGAAAAGTTCGAGAGGGACATATTTTGATCACGTTGCATTTTTTTCCAAGTGAAGTATTCTTCTTTTTACCTCATCTGGTGCTCGTAATTATTTGACGCTTCTATCTAAAAAAAACCAACGTGACCAAAAGACAGTCCTCTTCGAAATTGTTCCACTTTCACGTAAAACATTTTTTTTTAATAATAATTTCAAAAACAATTGATCGGAGCGATTAAAATAGGATACTTGGTATATTATAATTAAGACTGCGTTCCGATATTCACCGCCAGTATTGGAAATCTATAGCATGAGATGTGAAATATACATTTTTAGTATTGGCAGTGAATTTAAGAACACAGTTGTATAGATACACTCAAGTACAAAAATGCGTACTTCTATATCATCAGTATAAAGATCCATTATTCCAGCGCCATTTAACTCAAAAAAATCAAAGATCATTTCTCTCAATGTATCATTATTCTCTTTTTCTATATAAGCATCCGTCAACATTCTAGATGAACCTAATACAACTAGTTTGCCGCTGCTATTTTTTACACAGTGATACGCACAAATTGGTCTATTCATTGGTACAGCAATGGATCCACTTGACAGAGCAACAATAGAAGGCTGTATTACGTTTAAAGTTGCACCATAAGGATATAAAAATTTCATACCTCTGAAATAAACATACACATACATACATACGGACACACACGTACACGAAAGACGTCTGAAATTTTTGCCAAATTGCAAAGATAGATCGAGTCATTTAGAACAGAAAAGTCACACGTGCCATTTTATAAAACTCGCATTATTTATTAACTTATTAATCAAGTAATACGAGCCAGTGAGAATGTAAGAGAAAGCATTTCAGACTAGGTGTGTATAAAACTGTCTGATTTTCAGAAAAAAGATGAATATCAACCGACAACAAGAAGCTGTATTACACAGTGCTTGTTACTTCGCCTTTCGTTTGTAAAAAATTGCACAAAATAAGCAATTTTTTTTTGACAATTGAAAACTAATGGTTCAATATGTCACAGAATCAAGTTTAATGTTTCTATCAAACTCACTGATTCATTGAATTACTTAATATCCGAACACATTCGCGGCCGTTGATTTTAAATAGCGAGACCGCTACCTGAAAGACGCGTACGATTTTCAAACGTCTATAGCTGAAGGTCGCAGGGTTTTGTTATTAAATAGAGGGGTGTAAGTATAAATATAGAAAATATTGCTCCATTATTATACTTAACTATTACACTTATGTTTATTAAACAAATAAATGTAGATTTCTTATTTATTACTTATTACTTAGTATTTAAAATAATGTAAGACTTATTACTTATTACTTAGTATTTAAAATAATGTAAGACTACATCATCAGCCGCGTCAGTGTTAATATTTTATGTGAATTCAGCAAAATTGTAAAAGACTTTTCTCTTCAGAATGACCCACTTTATACCTAATTTTGACATTTTGGTTCTGTCAAAAAGCTACAAACGTGTGTTTATATACACACGTATGCACATGTGCGCGTAGTATACATTTGTAGTACAAAGAATTAATAAATAATAAAGTTTCTACATTACACACTAGTATTGTAAAATTAAAATAGGCAAATGAAACAATAGATAGAAAAATGTGAAATGTTCTTAACAAATTTTCAAGTTTATCTCACATGTATTCATAATTTCCGAGGAATGTAGATTTGTTTGATAATCCATGTAAAATCAAAGATTCTTTAGGATGCATCGTTTGACTATAACTCATACGCACTACACTATCTGTAAAAAAATAACAAAAATAAGTTTTTGTTATTTTTTAATCATTCTTTTTTTCCCATACCTAGTACAATAATACAAGTACTTGTTATAGAAAAATATGTAACATTACCATTATTCACCATTATACCAAATTCTTCCAATAAAAAATTAATATTTGTGTTAGACTTATTTTCACCACCTTCTCCAAGCATGACAAGAACTTTGCCACCAGAATTTAAAAATGTTCTAATAGAATTCATTTCTAGTTCGGTAAATTTATTTAGCGGTCCCGGCAAGATTAAAAGAGTAGCATTTAACAACGATTCTTGCGATATCACCTCATTATTTCTGAAAAAGTCAACTAAATGAAAAACTTATTTTAAGGACCGTGCACTAAATATTTTTTTTTTTTAACTTACTCTATAAATTTCCATTTTGTCTTCAATTTTCGTTGAAGTATTTTAAACTCGTCGTTCAATTTTCTTTCATTTTTTGACATATCAAAAACAATAACGTTTTCTTTAGTATCATCACTGTCAACAATCGAGGCCATCATTAAAAGTGGCTTTAAAATACACGAACATATCACACCTTTACAACCAAGATGTTAAATTTTTACTTGTTGCTATGACAAATAGTAGAAAATAATGACAATCATGTTGCGCTTATCGACTTGTTTAAAGTTACGGCTATCATTGACGGGTTCAGTTGGTACAGACGGCGTCACAAATTCGAAGAGAAGGCGCGGGGATCGGAGGGCAAGCGGGGCGGATGCTTGTAGCGCCAGCGAGCACCGTACGAACTAAATAGTAGCAATTGGTTGTGTTCGCAACTACGTCGTGTCGATAATGTAACTACTCTTCTTTTCAATTTTCTTTTCAAAACGTAAAACTATTGGCCATTTACTAAATATCTAACTAATTTGACATTTTGATTTCTTCCTATTTATTCGGTCTACCATATTTCCTACCTACCCGGCCTAATATATTTTCTACAAGCGCTAGTAGATACGCATCCCTACTTATTTACCTACCTACTTTGGAAAGTTTTAAAATCTATCAAATATTTGACGCGAGGGACAGTTGTTTTAAAATTAAAAAGTATTATTTCAAATTTATTTTACTTTCGCGATCGAGTTTTTATATTTTATGATTTAAAGAGAGTATATACCCACCCGATAAAAGCGTACCATATGAAAATAGATGATAGAATAAAAGAAAAGAAGAAATATATATTTAAATACACATATATTTCAAATATATATTTAAATATATATTTTTGCAAAAACAAACTAGAAGAGAATAAATGTAGAGAATAAATATAAGGAGCATAAGCCTCCAAAAAACAATTCTATATCGGTTCTTTAAGAGAAAGTGATATAGAAAAGTGATATATAAAAGAACACAAGTTTCAAAAAATAATTCTATATCGGTTCTTTAAGAGAAAGTGATATAGAAGTCTCGAAGAAAATTCTATATCGGTTCTTTAAGAGAAAGTGACATAGAAATATGAAAGTAGAAAATATAGATAAATATATATAAAAAAAATTAAAAAAGCACATATATATA